TACATACGCGAAGCGTATACTGGCCGACCCCTGAAGAGGCAGCACTTCGAGCACTTAGGATCTTTCGAGCAATCTGGAGTCGACCTATTATTAACGAGAATCTCTCTCGAGATATTAATAGTTTTGAGTCATGGAATTTGTAAATATTGTACGATCCTTCGAGTATTAATTTACCGAGAATGCGACTAAGGAAACTTTAATCTTTATCTTCATGTAATTTTATTTACGTGACTTTCATTATATTTTTCTATTTTCACAGAGAAAAAGATTTGTTTGAACTCGAGAGTTCTATTTATATTTGTTTAATTGAAACAAATTTAATTTTAAATGAAACATTTTGTTTAGTCAAAAAGATTTAGTTTTAGTGGAAATAATCACATTCTTAATTTAAATATTTATTTGGTTGGACTATTCCAATGTATAAATTTGTTTGATTTAAAAAACCTTTTCTCTGTGTTGTTAAAAATTATGAAAAGGAAAAGAGTGAAATGATTTTGTTTTATTTTTTTTTTAATTTAGATGAAACTAATTCTTTTGAGAATCTACACTGTTAAATCTATAGTGTCAAATTTAATCCAATTTTAAACTGTTTTAAATTGTTTAATTCCATTGTTTTAGTATCAAATAACGGTATTTTGAGTAAAAGCAATGACGATTTAAATTAGGTTAAATTTGACACTATAGATTTAACAGTGTACACCAATTGAAACTAATTTCTTTTTGGAAAATCTATACATCAACTGAAATAGTTCCGTAAAACACCTTGTACATATACATGCAACATTTAACCGTTGCACTCATAACAAGAAGTAAATACTTAAATAAGCGTGACGGGAAATATCGAGTATTGCAATTTTGCCAGAGGACTTGTCGATCACGACGATCGATTTCTAGCTGATCTCTTTCTCTCTTCGCAATCTACGCTCATGATACTCGATGGAAGGCATGTTAATAACACCTAATTATATACTGCGATTCAATTGAACGCTCGAATGATCGCGGAGATAAACGAAGAACGGAATAATCTTCGCGGCGTTGATCTAGAAGGGATTACACGGCTCAATATTTCAATCGATCAAATCAGCCAAGTACTCAACAGAATTATGTAACAAAAATTAAAAGATTTTGTTAAATAATTTCTTATATTATTATCGTTCATAAAATAAAATAATAAATAACAAGAAAATTCTGATTAAAGATTTATCTCACTTAATGCATAACGAAATAAACAAGTTTTTTTTATTTTTGCGGAGATTGAAAGTATGTATTTTTTAAATTTATTTCATAAGAAACAATAGTGTTTTGTGTTGAAAGTTGAAAGATTCGACAAGAGAGGATAACAAGTGTTAAAATTAGCAAGTCATTCTTAAATTTGAAGAAAGCTTTTTCAAATATTTTATTTTTATGTATAATTTTGTTTGTCTATTACTATTTTTTCTTTATATTTAAAATAAATGTTGCTCCTATTTTTTATTTGCATATTTGCAAAAGTGAAGCCGTCTTATCTAAGACGAAATTTATCCAGATACGTATAAATCACATTTGTGCTTCGATCGTATCCTTCATCTCCTTGCTCTAGTTGGATATATAAAATCATCTCTTTCTTCCTATTTCAATTTCACGGCTCGGGGATCTGTAGTCGAAGCCGGTGCATCTTTTCGGCGCGACTGACGTCAGAAATTCAGTACGTTGCACATGAAAATTAATTGATAGTTAAACATTTTCCGGGACTGTTATTATACGTGGCAACGAACCGCTCCTATGTGGACTGTAGGTAATATACATGCTAAGATAACATTGTTACCCAGGTAGCAACCGATAATCGATGTCCCGGTATGGTAACCTGCCTGTCTGCCACTTTTTTATTAAAGCAGATCATCGGTACAGCGTGTCATTCAGTCGCGAGCTGCAATTGCCTGATGGACATCAGTAATAAAGTCGATCAAGTTTAGCCCGCGCGATGAAAAAATATTATCATTGCAACTATTTTTTTGCGTATTTATTTTCAGATAGACGCAACAAAAACGTGTTTCAATAATTATATTTAAAACTTAGTATCAGGTTGTTTCTCGCAACCTGATGAAATGAACTGCAATGCTCACGAAACGTTGACATTTAACGATATATCAAGACATGGACTTTCCATTTGACGACATAAGTCGATATAAGTGTTTTTGTTTATTGGCTGAATATCACAAGATAGAATAATGTTTGTGTCAACTGATATCACTAAATGGAAAATACCTATTGGAGATAACCTGTATAGACTGTGGCTTCTTGAAGAAAATGCCTGAAAAACTTAAACAAAAATTATATATAAAATTATCAACTATAATTTTATATTACGAAAACTAATAAATAAAGAATAGATATTTTGTTGACATTTACAGACGTTATATTTTTTATTACCATTCATTATTGATTTTTTAACATTTTTTTTATTTTTCTGCGCTATTTTCCGCCATCTCTTTTTCTCTGATCTGCGAAAGGTCATCCTAGAATTTTTTTATTTCCATGTCAAGTAGTAAAATTAATTAGAAACACATTCTTTAATGTTGAAAAATTGCCTTTCACTAGACTATAGAAAATCGAAACAAGTAAAAACTATAGGGAATCATTTTGCGACGATAAAACTCGAATAATCCCCAAAGTTCGACGTCGTCCACGTTATCAATCTGACCAAGGTAAATGATTACCTCAGCGGAGCGTTTTTTTTTTTACAGGAGGCTACTTTAATCTTCGTAACACACGGCGCGGTATGACCTCATACGACGACCACTCCCATTCTCCATAGCCCTCCAGGTTTCGTTTCTCTTCCTTTTTTCCGTTCCCATTCGGTGCCACTCGACAAATTGATTAGGCGTGCAATTTCGCGTGCCAAGCTGCCGCCCGCCTCCCAAGAAAGTTCTCTGCGAGGAATTTAGAAGCTCGCGAGGGACGACTCGTGGCACGACCGCGTTGACTTTGACTTCTATTTTCGACACTTGTCTCTGTATAAAGTACCCTTTTAAAGAAACTTATGCGACGAGATAAAAGTCACATCGATCAAATGGATATATCCGACAATAAATTTTGAAGTGAATACTTTTTTTGGACAATTTCAATTTATTGTTGTAAATTGTGATCTGAAAATCTATCTTGAGTTGAAAAGATAAGATTCGTGTAAAATTTCAAATTCGAAACTGGTGCGACGTGAAAGTTCTAAGTCTTCCTGATGTCGAGAATATTAATGCCATTTTTGGCTTTCCTTCTCATCCAAGCGTATATTATGGGAAGCATAAAACACGCGAGATAATTAAGTTGAGCCAGAGGGAGATCAACAAAATCAATGTGAAATCTGAAAACATACGAGATAAAGAATAACTTAAATTTCACAATGATATATACGACACACTTTTCATGTCTAAGCAAAATAATGCGGCAACTCGATATATTCCATGTTTATAAATATAAATGATAGGAACTTATAACTTTAACTTTGTCCCATTACAGTATGACAATGATAATTTCTTGCTCTGATGATTTGTTATCAGAGAGAATCTTGTTTTGTGAAACAACATAAATCTCTTGTAATTAAAGAGAACGAGAAAGGGAATTTGTATGTTAGAAAAATTAAAATAGAGGGTGCTTTCCATTTAGTGACACAAGTCGATACAAACATCATTCTATCTTTTTTAATATTTAGAGAGCAACAAAGATAGTACATTTATGTAAACTTATGTCACCAAATGGAAAGCATCCATAGATGTTTTGAACTAAAGAAACTTGATACAAGCTGTAAAAATGATAAATTATGTGCATAAAATCTATATATCAAGAGTCCATATCAAAGATGTAATCTAGATATACTGATTGTGAGTCTTTCAATGTTAATGGTTTTTAAACTAAAGAATCTACTATTCAGTGAACATAATTATAAACTATCATTTACGACATCACGAATTCGTAAAGACGTGAAGATACTACTTTTATGTAACAAAAATTAAATAAAAATTTATGATTTATTCAAGAAGGTATTATCTTTAAAATAAGTTAATTTATTTAATTGATACTTAAGCTGAAATTTTTTTGGTAATTGATATTTTAAATAAATGTAGAATTCATGTAATAGGAATTCTTCTAAATTGAATGACTTTCTTTTGTAAAAAAAAGTAGGATACTCGATAAGATGCTCTGTACTTCCTCGACTTACAATCCGGGATGTCGAGAACCAACTCGAGTGGCTCGTGAAGCGGCTTATCTTATTGTTAGGTGAAAGGCACGGGTGCAAATGGAAGCGAGAATAGGGTGAAGACATGGTCGTGATCGATAACTGATAGTCAATTATAATTTATGAATACATTTCTCAACTAAATTAGATCCATTTTGAATTGCAAAAATAAGAGAATGTGTAATAAAAAATTTACTATTTTTAGATATAATATTTAATATATGTTAATAAATTTGCATTATATTTTGCAAAAAATCAAAGCAAATTGCGAAAGAATCTTTTTAAAGCATAAAAATTTTACTTTAAAAATTTCATTAAACCTTTTTCTTGACACTTCTATTCTAAGTGACGCTATTTTACCAAGTCGCTTAAAATTTACAAAAAGAAAAAGTTTTTAATATTGAAATTATGCGTGAAGTTGAAAAAGAATTGTTTTCGACTTTGCTCAAGATTTTCTAAAAGTTAAGAAAATATTTTCAAATACTTAATTTATAAAAAATTAAGTGACTTTTTAAATTTTATTAACAAATGTATTTACATTGTTATTATATAAAATATATGATATTTTAATTCCTATTGAAAAAAATAATAAACAAAAACTTAATTAGAAAAGTGGTTTAAAATCTCTAACGAGTTTGATAGTTAAACCAATTGTTTCATTTTTTTAATGAAAAATTTTTTTTCATACTGTGAACAAATTTTTTAAATGCTTAATTTAAAAATCAAGTGAAAAAGAACCGATATTTAAGTATTTTCTTCTATATTTCCTATTCTGTCGTTTTTGTTTCAGGCCAAACAACGTGCCTCTGTAAAATGGCTTCTATCGAAGGCATACAACAATCGAGTGCCAGAAAAACTCCGCGACCCCTATTATCGTGATCATGAGGTAAGCTTTGGTTTTTTGTTACGATGCTTTGTTAACGAATTCATCTCTTGCGTTTAAGACTTTCAAAAGTTTCACAAGATACATTTTATTAATATTATTAAAATTTTTCATATTATATGCGTGCTGCATAATTTTATAAATTGAAAATAACTTTCGAAATAATAAATTCGCAATGGTGAATTGTATAAAGTTTATATAGTATGTATTTACAATTTTAAGACAGTTTCGTAACAATGCATTTCTACGAGAAAATGAATTTTTTGTACAAGTATAGGAAAGATCTATTTTCTCACAGACGAATTTTATGGTTTTTTTAAATGCAGTTTCATTTTTTATAATCGATAATGTCCTAAAATCCTACTTTGTAGTTTGTACAATACGTCGTCATTTCAGAAGGAAAAATCTGTTTTTTTACAAACAAATTTTATCAGGAGATGGTATTGACTTTTTTTACGCGCATTAATTTTTTTATGGTTGCTATTGTGATTAATTTCCTTGCGGGTAACAATATATATCAATAAATTTTTTTTTTTACTTCAAAGTATTTTGAAATACTTTACCTTGTATAATACACGTCATTATTTCTTTCACGACGGAGAAAACGGATCTCTTCCATCGTGAAAGGCGGTGCTGTAAAATTATTGAAGTATCTATGTAGCCAGAAATGCTAATAATGATTTTGCCAGTACAATATCGTGTCAGCTCCGATGAGAACGAAAGAAAGTGGTGTTACAAATTACATTGTCAATAGCTTACTTTACGCTACTCCGGGAACTCACGGAGAAAATGTAGTCGAGATTTCCATAATAGAAGTTCCGTGAAACTTCACGAAAACTGAACTTTATACTCCCCTCCCACGAGGATGTCTGTCATCAATGTCTGTTTATACGAAACGTGTTCAGGAAAAGCAGTTTGAAAGAGAATCTGATTTATACACTCTCTCTCTCTCTCTTTCTCTCTCTCTCTCTCTCTCTCTCTAAGAAAGAAATATAATCAATTTTAATAAAGTATTTATATGAATAGTGCCAAACATTTACTTAGAGAGAGAGAGAGAGAGAGAGAGAGAGAGAGAGAGAGAGA